GGTTTTACTTTTTCTGGTATGATAATCGTCGGCAGATTTTTAACGGTGCCTGTACACACTAAACTGTTTCTGAGCCCGTACGTACAAACATTGGTATTACCGTTTTTTTCTGGTTCAAAAGTCAAATGACTGACGGAATGATTGGTGGAAGAATTTATGCTGTTCGCACTGTATTTAACCCACCTATACTTGTTTACTATAACTTCTACCCCCAAAAACAATGCTCCCAAAATTTGTATTTTTTCGGTGGCTTGTCTATTTTACTTTATACAAAATTTCATTTTAATCTGCCACATTAATCAATATTAAATCGAAATCTTTACACCAACAACAACAGTATTCTCAACAGGAATATCCCAATTACTATAAAAACTTCTAGAATTGACGGCTATAAACGTATATATGTTAACTAGAATTCTTGTCCACCATGGAGAATCATATCTAGAACATAGATACTGTTGTCCCAACACATATACAACGGATCCATTATCAGGATTAAAATCTTGAGTTAAGTTTGTGCTCGCAGGATCAATCTTTCGAATTGATTCAACTAATTGTAAAATAAATTCTCTTCCTTGAGAGATTTGTTCAGCATAACCATATCTAGCAGTTACTTGATAACAACCTTCATAATTTTTAACTTTTTTCACTATAAAACGATCATTGATATCAATGATTCTTGGAATGGCTACAGTTCTGATTGTGATAAAAACAACGTTCTGAGGCATAATTGGAAAGTTTTTTACAAAATGTGTGAAAGAAAGCGGGATCTTGGTGCCAATGTCACTATAGAATAGCCCAATACCCGGCGAGCGTATAAAGTGAGTTGCAACATCTAATAAATTAAATTGTGTAGTAGTATTATCAATTTGTAAAATCTATATTAAAATACTAATAATATTTGTAGTCTTACCACTGGAAACTTCATTTCCACTTTCTAAAGTAATCTCGTGAGATGAATTGATATCATTGTCGGTAATATTAATTTCATTTGAAACAATTTTTTCCTCCTTAAAAATTTTTTGAAGATCAGGAGTTTGTGAACGTTCATGACGTATCACGCGAACTGTACCCCATCTCCATATGCTCATCATAATTGTAAGAAGTACAGCAACAACCAATGTAAACCAACCACCAGATTCGACTTTTCGTAAGGTTGCACCCAAGAATGAAGCATCGATAGTGAAAAAGACACAAAAGAATATAATTGAAACAATAATAGGAAGGCGCCAGACAAGACGAATTACAATTGCTATGAGGGTTGTTGTAATAATCATTACAGATGCGACGGCTACACCATAAGCGACCGTCCTAAAATAAATAATGTGAATAAATAAATTGAGTAAATGAATAAATGAGAGATCATAATAATAAGAAATATAAATACAGGTTTGTGGAATGTTGGAAGCCGACACAAATGAGCACGATTAAGACTATTAAGGTATAATTAATCTATATGATAAATAATCAATATAAAAGGATTTAATACATGTGTAACATAAAGGTATAAAATAAGTTTTTAATTACCTCTGGAATATATATTTGACCTTCAACTCTTTCTGATGTGTGAATAACCTTGTTTAATAAATAAAAAAATGACATTTTAAATAAATAGTGATTATTATACATTCGTATTAAATCATAATTATACGATTATTGCTGTTTTTAAAATGGTTAAATAAGAAAATTTTTAAATATCATAGGCAAAAATGATAGGGTAGCGATTTACATACTGCCATATGAGTGTCGCTAAAAGAAAACCCGACAATTTAAATATAAGTCATATTTAAATTGTCGGGTTTTCTTTTAGCGACACTCATATATACTGGTTAAAGTCATCAGTAACAAAAAATTCTTTGAATACTTAAATATAACTAATATATTTAAAGTATTCAAAATAATTTTTTACTATTGATGATTTTAAGCCAGTATACATGAATATAATATATACATTATTATATGTATGCTTGTGTATTGGCTTGAAATCATTAGTAGCAAAAATTTTTTAAATCTAATATTTTAAGTATTAAAAAAAAATTTTATTAACGATGCTTCTAAGTTTCTAAGTCATTAAAAATTTTTTTTTAATTTCAACCATTTTGAAAACAGTAATAAATAATAATTATACGATATAATATTAAATGATAATTGTATATTTTGTATTGTATAAATAATGATAAAAAATGTCATTACCTTAACTGCCGGAAAGCAATCTAATTGCATTGATTGGTAAACTAAAGAAAAAGTAGCCGAAATCATAGCCTGAGACGCAATTATTGTAGCTAAGATTGCTAAAACAAATACAATCCAATAAATTGCAGGTTTATTAGGAGTAGTTAACCAAAAGGTATTGGCAATTACAGAGGGATCCAAAACCAGACGTGCAGCTTGGCCTGTATATACTAAAACCAAAGGAAAATAAACGAAACATGGAAAAGAGATCTTAATGGCAGTCCGGTTAAAATGTCCCAAGTCCGCAAATAAGGCCTCAACACTATTTGGAAAGATGGTATTAAATATTATGGTATATACATATTTATTAGTTATTAATCGAAAAATTTTAATTTTACCCAGTGATGGCCAATAAAACTCCACCGAGATCAGTAAACTTTAAAAACATAGAAAAAAATAATTAATTAACATTTCTGTTTCAATAAACAAATCGATAATAATTAAAATAAACCTAATCTATATAGATATTTTACCCCAGAATCTTGTTTTCTAATAAAATAATCAAAAGCATAATAGGGATTGTAGGCTTTAAAAATTTCAGGATATTGAGAAATGTTCCAAATTCCAACAGAAGCGAGAGCGATAAACCAAAGAGAGACAATTGGAGCAAATAAATTTCCAACCTTTCCTGTGCCAAATTGTTGTAATAGAAATAATACAACGAGGATAATACTTAAAAAGAAAGTGAGAATAATTCATTTAATAACTATTATTTATCAAATAAAATAACAATGATAATATATGTAAATATATACCAGCTAATAGGAACAATAGCAGGTTTTAAACTTGGCGCAGCGATGGCCATACCCTCAACGGCGGAAATTACGGATATGGCGGGAGTTAGAAGACCATCACTCATTACTAAAGAAGCGCCAATAAGGACCACGCCAAGTAAAATAATTTGTACAATTTTACTACGCTTAATAAAGTTTGGACCTTCTGGAGAGCCACTAACTGATATACTATCATGTTTCGAAATCGTCAAATCATCGGGACTCGAATTTCCGCGTACAGAAATGCCAGAGTGTCTAAAATAAAAGTCGTCAATATTATGAACACGTGACCATATACAAGATATATGTAGGACTTACCGACTTAATAATGAATACAAAGCAAAAGTGCCACCTTCACCATTATCATCTGCTCGGAGTACTATGAAGACATACTTTATCAATACCACGATTGTCTAAAAAATGATTGTCAATGTTAATTTGAAGACAATTTTTTTTAAAAAAAAATAAAAATAAAAATAAATGAAATAAAATGATCAAAAATTTGAAAATTAAAGACCCACTAATGACCAAACGATCAAAGATAAAGCACCTAAGTAATTTAAAATAAAACTATTAGAATTAAAAACCAGAAATTAAATTAGTTAAAGTAACATATACCATAAACGTCTCGAGGGTCAGTAGGCGGATTCTTGAAGATTCCAGTGAACACTATGGTAAAGATAAATTAAAAGGTTCGGAACAGTTGCTAAAGGGGAGGAATAAAACATACATACCATATAGGGGCGAAGTACCAATATCTCCAAATATAACGCCTAAATTTTATGATAAAATATTAATGAATTGACAATGGATTATCATTATGAATAAATCAAAATGGATACCTAGCGACTTGAAGGCTAAGCTTAAAGTAAATAAAAATGAGCCTCCCTAAGAATACATATATTAAATTAGTAAATGAAATAAATTTACATTTTTCATTATGTAAAAGGCTCACTTTTTTTCTGAACTCTTGATCGGACATTTTTTATCGGGCGTTGAAAAAAAAATTCTATCGCTATGCATTAATACAGATATAGATTTCGGTTTGTTTTACTTTTTTTCTTGGCAAATAAAAAATCTGTACTTACAAATAGATAAAAATTTTCTCAAGTAAAAGTAATAATTTAATTATTAGATCTAATGATTAGATAGGGTGGATGAGTGAATTAAAGTTGCACATATTGTTTATCAAACCAAAATCTGTTTTATTCATAGAATAGTAAATAAGGTTTACAATACGCAGAATAAATCATAATTTGCCGACTTTTATTGTCACAGAGGCTAAGGTAATTGTGGTTAAAAGGTAACCGCCCTACTGAAGCTCCGTTCATTTCTAGCCATTAATATCTAACATAGAATTAACTTCTAAAACATGTATGCATACGTAGTACGTATTCTTTTATAAATTGTTTATAAATTAGCATCTATAACTGCAAATTGGATGGAGCCTGAAGCTTCGTTCATTTCTAGCGATTAGATATAGAAACTTCTAAAAAACAACATGCATGCATGGTATATCTTTAATCGCACTAAAGCTCAAAATATATAAACAATAAATAATTATTATCGTTATGCAAATATCATCAGATCTAATTTAGAGATGCACGGTGAAGTAGACCTTCGTGTTTTTTTAGATTTTAATATCAACCCGAAGCCAATTATTTGTAGGACCAGGTGCTAAAAGCCCAATATCCATTTGTAGCAACTTTCAAGTATGAACTTCGTTCAATTGTGATCCTATGATCAAACTGTAAGATTGTTTATAGGATAGTGAAACAGAAAAATCTATAGAAGAATTTATTAATTGATTCTTTACCGTTATCAAATTTACTTGCCTATGTAGTGGTAGTGATTTTAATTTGTCTCATGTCGTAGCCAGGAATGGAAATGTAACAACTTATGTAATCAATCCTCAATTATTCATATTATTGCTATCGCTATATATTGCAAAAATAAAATAAATAATACAGTAATAAATAAAAATAAACGATGAAATAATAATATTTATCTAATTTTTTCCATTTTCCACAGTTCCTATTAGTCGTGTTATCATAGTGCGAGAAATAGAAGACAGATTAATAAATCCCTAGTGCTAGTGTGGCAAAAACATTTTTCATGTTTACAGATATTTTATCTTTTACAAGGAGAATATATTATGTTCTTGTTATAGGGTTATAAATATATTTTAAGTAAACATGGGTCAGGAAGGCACGTGCGTAGCTACTCTATGACAACCCCAACAACACCATAAAAAATTTTCGGTAACACAACATTTTGTACTACATACCGACCAATAGCATTTTACATACTCAATTACGATTTTCATACTAGATTTTAGCCAATAGTATTTTATATATTTTACTATATACTATCGATTATTATATACTGAAACATTTAACTTAGTGTTACATTTAGATCACTCGAGTTATCACTACGTATCGATTATTACATACTGAAACATTTAACTTAGTGTTACATTTAGATCACTCTACTTATCACTAGTATTTTAGTATTTAAATAAAAATATCATTAGAATAAAAAAAAATTCTTTTCTTACAAAATGATTCCAATGTTTAATGGCTTATTCAAATGTGATCGGTGTGATAAATGTTTCGATAAAGCTGCTTTTGTTAGTAAAACTGGAAAACCTACAAAAACATGTAATGAATGTCGGCAAAAAATTTTAAAAACTTACTATGCCACGAAGTCTAATGATAATCCACTTTATAATTCGAACCCTATTGAACCCAACGAAATGAAAAAAAAAATTATTTGAATCCATTCTTGAAGTCGGAAATAATGAATTTGTTGAAAATGAAAATTCTGGCATAGAGTTTTTGTGCAAAATATCTACTATTTCCTTAAAAAGTGAGCCTCATGAACTTGGAAAGACAATTGCCGAAATAGTAGGATCTGTCGACGGGTATTATTACATGTAAGTGTTATAATCATATTTGGAATTAACAAACTAATTTATTTACTAATAATTATATTATAGTTATTATATGGTTTATAAATTGGAAAAAAATCCTCATCAGTATACATTTTGGTATAATTGCTCCCAAAGTTGTACTTTAGCCAAACGTCCTCGAAAACATAAAGATCTTGATAAGCAACGTGATAGAGAATATATTGAACGATTTAATTGTACTGGTGTTCTAAAAATATTACTGGATATGGAAATGAATGTAGCAACAATCGATCTTCAGCATAACTTACTTCATAAGCGTCCGGATAGATTTAACACATCTGATGATATTAAAGCTGAAATAAAAAAAAACCTTCATCAAATGCCCACGGATATTTTCAGACAGTTAGAACAGCAAAATCCAAATCTAACACAAAAACAAGTTCATGCATGGTGGACTTATTTTTTAAGAAAAGAGTACATTCGTGATGATAATCAATTAAGTTCTACAAAAATATTAGTAGAAGAAAACGAATGTAAGGTTATTTTAAGCAACAATCAAAATATTCAATATTTGGGGTTTACAACACCATTTTTTAAATTATTAAAAAACAATGAAGAAATAGTCACAGATGCTACATATAAAACAAATGCTTTAGGATATGAATTATATTCAGTCATTGGTCACTATAATGGTTCTGGATTTGCACTTGCATATTTGTTTATCAAGGGGTCTAAAAAAAATGATGGTGCACGAACGGATATCTTAACTTTATTTTTTCAATCCTTATTTAATCTGGGATTAAATAATATCTGTTTTTTTTTAACAGATAAGGATTTTGCGCAGGTATCAGCTGCACTAAAAACTTGGTCAAATGTCAAAATTCAATTTTGTTTTTGGCATCTGAAGAAAGCACTTAATAAACATCTTGCTGACAACACATATCCCAAAACAATTAACTATAGTTCGTCTTTAGCATATCAAACATTTAAATTTATCAACATTGAATTTTATCCAACACCGCCATCACAATTAAATTTAGCGCAAAAAAAAAACTTTTGCTTTTGTCCTAAAGAGTTGCACTCTAATATTATAAGCATGATGGAAACTCATATGCACCTTCATCCATCAATTCCAAATGCTAGCGGGTTTTATTTGTCAGCAAGTGAAATTTGGGAACAATCAACGAAAGAAATTTATGAATTCTGTGTCAATTACGATTTAAGACTCCTTTGGACTTATTTGTGGAAACACTGGTATTGTAAAGAAATCTGGAATCTGTGGGCCCGTTCTGTATATAGCAAAATTTGCATATTCCGTACTATTATGTTGTGTGAATCATACTAGAAAGTTCTTAAGCGAGATTTTTTACCAAAATTTTTTAGACCACGACTTGATTTTACCTGTATTATCATGCATCAATTGTGTAGACATAGATTGAACATCATTATTTTTACCATCAATTGAATTAGTAATTATAGAATCGTCTACTTAAAATAAAATAATATTTTGAGTATCATACTATATATTAACAATAATAATTAGATTTACCTGTATTAGAATGCATTAATTGCATAATCGAAGATTCAATTTGTTGAACATCATATTGCGATGGTAAAAATAAAAAAGGATAAATTCCTTGTCGTTGAACATTTTTAAAAAACGATATATTAATTGTAAATTGCGATGTTTGAATTAAGTGTTTACACAGAAAAAATCGATTAGTCAAAAATCTGGCACATCCACAAATCCACTTTTCGACATCAGTTACATAATTATTATTAATTTTCTTCTTTTTCAACATAATCCACTCCTTTCGCCCTATGTGTGGAAACACTTGGTGTTTACAGCAATTTGGGACGTTTGGGGCCGTTCTGCGTCTAGCCACATTTGGTCATTGCGGA